TTCTTCTGTGAAGTTCCCTTCCTGCCAGGGCACTAGAATGTGATCAGACTCTACTGATCAGATGGTGGCACCTAAGTCCTGTCTCTTCCATAAGGAAGATAGAAGTTTTCCTTTAGAGACCTTCTCTGTGTGTAAAAGAATGGAAGTCCACAGCCATCCCTAACAGCGAAGAGAGACTAGAATAAATACTGAATGTTTTACCCCTGAGGTTAGTTCTAGCAAGGGAGGAGAGGGTTGGAGACAGCTTCTGTCTAAACTTGCAGAAGGACTGTATTATCATTCCTGCAGTAATCTTTAATGTTTCCAGGAAAAGGATGGGGCCCCACAGCAACAACTCCACCTGGTTGATATGACGTCATGATGCTGATAGTGATACTTTAAGAGTATTTTTTGGTATCAGCCGTTCAAGATGATTCCTAGTTGGTTAGCTTAAACTGTGCATCTTACAATGCTCTGGCCAGTAGTCTAAATAGGAACCTCCAAAAACCCTATGGACTACTCAGAGACTATTTGCAATTATACCAGACAGTAATCTTGAAACTTAACTATCATTTCAGTTTCACAGGATCCCATAGAATGAACATCGCTCTCAGGATAGCTGGAAGTAATTCTAGAAGACTATGTATCCTCTCCCAACGAAGTTTTCCTCAGGGTTAGGGAATCTATTAGGGGTTCTTTATAAGTGGTATAGGGTTGGGGTTTGGAGGGGGGGGAAATTATGTAGACTCAGGGATCTCAATTAAAAAATAATAATAAAGAATTGGATGGGATAATAAGTAGATAAGTGTGAACTTACTCACACTATTAATAATAGTAACAGAGTAAATATTTGTGAGCTATAATTTACAGACAATTTACATTGGTATAGATTCTTGTATATTGACACAAATTCAAATTGTATTTGTTATATTAAATATGCTCCTATTTCTGTTTACAATATCTGATCACCTATGCAACTTATTTTGTCATATTGTGTGCATGCACGTTTCTTACTCTGGTTAAGATATTTGTATATTGGTGCAATTTTAGGATATATACATCATATTGCATTATACATTTCTACCTCTGACCAAGATACTTATACATTTTTTACATTTTGAGGTATTTGTCCTCATTTCATGCAAGTTGTTTAAAGATTATTTAATATTCTAAGAAGAAGCCTTAGTCTTTAAGCTTTACAGGTATTAAGAATTATAGGTCAATAGTCATTGATGTTTGTCATACTTATAGTTAGACTAATCAGGTTCTTTACATACATTGAGATTGTATTCTGCATAGATAGTTAATCTTCAACCACTTCACTGAAATGTAAAATATGACATTTAAATAATTTAGGGTTCTGTTGATGTGAGACACGATTGCTCCTGGCAGCACCAATCAAGTCCCAAGAGAATGTTGAGCTCTGAAAACACTCCACTTGTAGCTTGTTTTCTTCTTGGCAAAACTGGCCTTTCACAAAGAAATGCCTATGTCTCAACCACTGACAAAATGCACCATGTCCAAACAGGACAAGAAGGATATAAGGAAAAAGACTGTCAAACCTTGCCAAGATGGGGTAAGACAATATTAAAAAATTTCCTGCCTCTGAAAATGGTCTGTCAGTTACTCTATGCCTTAGCCAAATTTGGTTGCTCCAAAGTTGCAAATGAGACTTTGGGTGATTGCCTATGTCAATATATGCACTTTTAGAAAGTTGCTTGCTTCGAGACCAACCTGGTCTACAAGAGCTAGTTCCAGGACAGGCTCCAAAACCACAGAGAAACCCTATCTCGAAAAACCAAAAAAAAAATTATATAAAAAAAAGAAAGTTGCTTGGTTGTGCTTCCTGTTTACTCAATTAGTTAATTTTCCTTCTCAGGTCTTCTATGGGGTTGAAGACTAGATAGCTGTAGTTACTTGAAGACTATATTGGTGCAGCAGAATTGACAGAAACCCCAACAAGCCGGCCCTCATGTTACAGAATGGTGTCCACGTGAATAACTGCATCCACAGAATGCCTGAGAAAGCTTGGGAAAGAATAGAGTAAGGCATGTTTTCTTGATATCAGCAATTTCTCGGATCTGCTCTGCTTGCTAGAGGAAAACAAGTGCTCTCATCTAAAAGAGGCTTCCTGACTCAGCTTTAGCTTTGCAGCTCTTTAAGAGGTCCTGCTACGAAACACTTAAATGGTGTTGATGAAAAGCTGAAGGCATGCCTTTTGGTTTTCAGCCATAGTAGGAAAAAAGCTGTGCCATTTTTAAATGCCAGCTTTCTGAGCCATCCTGGCAGGGCAAACTCTGACTTTTTCAAGCAGGCGGTCCCAACTGCTTGACTGTTGTTTCTGGACACACTGTTGCAGCTTGCTTGCTGGCAACAACCATAAAATGCCATAGAGTTGTGGCAATAAACATGGCTCTGGCCGGTCCCTCCACCATGAGGCTGGAAAGCTAAGGAATGGTCTGGATCCAGCCGTCAAAGCCATGGCTTTAATCCTCTCCATAAAGATTCGTGTGGTCAGAAACAGAGAGTTATAGAGTAAAGAGAGATTCAAAGACAAAGAAACCCTCTAAATGGTTTACAGTGTGTTAAAAATATATGCAGGCTAAAGGTTAAAGTCCAAAAAAAAAAAAAGGAAAGAGAGTACTTTGGATGTGATGGTACACATCTTTAATCCCAACACTTGGGAGGAAGAGGTATATTGACCTCTGTGACTTCAAGGTGTGGTAGCACACACCTTTAATCCCAAGGCCTGGGAGGCAGAGGCAGACAGACCTCTGTGAATTCAAGGTGTGGTGACAGACACCTTTAATCCCAGCACTGGGGAGGCAGAGGCAAGTGGATCTCTGTGAGTTCAAGGACAGCCTGGTCTACAAAGTTATTCCAGGACAAAGATATACAGAGAACCTCTCGCAAAAAGTAAAAAAATAAAAATAAGAGAAATAGAAGTTTAAGCCACATAAAGATGGAAAATACACAGAGAATGATACTGTATGTTATTATGCTCTCTTTGAATTGTTTGAATGATGAGGATGGAGCAACAACTGCTAAAAGATATTTGCTTATAAGTGCGGCTGAATTAATCCAAGATAGATATTATAAAAATATCTTTACTTCAAAACTGAAGTCAAAAGGTATGTTACTTTGGAGAAGAGATTTTGCTTTTGTTTCCACAGAAAATGAGAGGTTGTGGATTCATTCTGAGATAAGAAAAATCAGGATTGATCAAGGAAGAACACCTGAGAAATCTCAGTAGGAACAGATGGCCCAATATCTGAGTTCTACAACCAGAACAGATTCAAGACAGCTACCTAAGATGATCAAGACTCACAGGATACTCCAGTCAGGACTTGATTATAATTCTAAATTTTCTTAAGGTCCCCATTAGATTATCAGTGCTCCCAGCCAGCCAGAAGTAGCCTGAAATACTATGCCACATTCACAAAAAGTGGACTATGGATATTTTTCTTTGTTAAAAAAAAAAAAAGAGAAGGAAGTGGTGTGGGAGAATTGTCTGTATTTAAAGCTTGTCAATCATGTTTTAAATAAACACTGAATGGCCAGGCAGGAAGTAGAGGTGGGGCGATGAGAACAGGAGTATTCTGGGAAGCAGGAAGCTCTCTCTGCAGTCCAGCCCAGACCACCGATGAAGCAAGGTATAATCTACCCGACTGAGAAAGGTACTGAGCCTTGTGGCTAACATAGATAAGAAGAATGGGTTAATATAAGTTATAAGAGGTAATAAGAATCCTGAGCTACTGGGCCAATCAGTTTATAACCTAATGTAGTCTTGTGTGATTTTTCTTTGGGGCTTGCTAGCTGTGGTGTACCAGGCGGGACAGAAACCCGAAGCTGACCCTTATGTTCCACTATATAGTCATAGTTACTTTTCTTCTATGACTTAGGAAAGCCTTTCTAATACAAGACTCCTTAGGATAGGATAACTATTAAAACATTTAGTCTGTGTTTCTTGCCTGATATTGTTTATGCTGGTTGTAATTCTAATTTTTATACTTGATATTTGTTCTTATTGTATATAGTTTTGTATTATGCTTAGAACTCTTACTTTAGACCAAAGGGGAGGTGCTGTGTAACTCATTCAGCCAGTAGCCTTTAAGATACCAGCTTACTTTGGGCGTGGTCAATTGTAGTATATATACAGATGTAAACACTTGCACAGCCTCTTGGCTGCTGAATTTGGTTTCCTATTCCCCACTCCTTCAGAGGACTGCTGCTCTGTGCGTCTCCCCCTAAATAACCTTTTACTACACTCCATTCTGGGCTATTGTGGAACTATTTTATTATAATCTACAATAAACGCGGTCCCTGACAAGCTGTAAAAATTAGGGGGCTGGAGAGATGGCTCAGAGGTTAAGAGCATTGCCTGCTCTTCCAAAGGTCCTGAGTTCAATTCCCAGCAACCACATGGTGGCTCAACCATCTGTGATGAGGTCTGGTGCCCTCTTCTGGCCTTCATGCATACACACAGACAGAATATTGTATACATAATAAATCAATAAATATAAAAAAAAAAAAATCATCGTTTAACACACAGTCTTCCAGAAAAAGGTGGGAAAGCTTCGTGGTTAAAAGATTTGCATCTTCAGGAAAGCTAAGAACCAGAAGCTATGAGACAATCTAGTTATGGTACACTTCTGCTCTGGAAAGGCAAGGAGGATCCCTAAGAGTTATGGGAAATGTAGTCCGCGACACTCCATCACGCAGGACATTAATTAATTTTCCGCTGCCTGCGGCTTAAAGGGCAAGCCTACTCTGTAGGGAATTTTGGGAAATGTAGTCCGTAACAGTCCCATCCTCATTACACTAGGATACTTTCCATAGCAAGAGCTTAGAGGGCCGGCATACTCTGTGCGGAATTTTGGGAAATGTAGTCCGGAAATCCTATGTTCAAAGCTAACTTCCCCTGCACGAGCCTGTGTCGTCCAGGTCCCCTGGGAATTCTGGGAAGTGTGCTCCCGGTAGCCTGCGCGGGAAGAATCACTTCCGGCCCAGGTGTGCGAGGCGGTGCCCCGCGTTCCTCTCAGAAAGGTGAGCCATCCCTCTGCTGTCCTTTCCCGCGTCTTCCCGATAGTTTTCAGGTTGTCCGGGGCGATAGGCAGCAGGCGTGGATGCTGGGAAGGAAATCCGCCTCAGTAGGGCAGGAGGCGAGTTTGCTGTGAATGAGCCTGCCGGAGCGTGCCGCGCTTGCGTACATTGACTCAAGCCTGACCGGGGCTGTCAGTCACCAGGATGGAGGGTGTCATGGGAGCCGGGAGCCCCCAGCCGTCTGTCTAGCCACTGTCGGAAATGCACAGTCGTCTCCGTCTGTGCCCCGAAGAGTGAGCTCGTGTTTGCTGCAAGGCTCAAGACAGCGGGCGCGCGGTACCAGCTCTTAGTTATTATTTTGCTCTTAGTGCTTTCCAGATTTCGAGAAAGCGCCCCAGTCTCTGGAAGCTCCAGTGACCCACAGATGGTCTCAGAGCTCCTGCTGTAGGGTCCTTGGCCCCAGCCTGACCACACCTGACCCCTCTTACCATATCCTTAATGCCTGGGTTTTTCTGTTGCGATTTGATGGGATGTTAAAGAATGTCCATTCCAAAGATGTTAAAGCCATTTTAGAATGTGCAAAGGGTGATGTGTATGAATTCGTGATTACTACCCTACATACAGAGTGAGATGAAGGTTGGCATGTGGGCTGTTAACATCAGTGCCAGCAAGAATAGTCTCATCAATAGCCAAGGCGAGTTAGGTGTTTGTTATGCACAACCCCAATAAAACTCATTGGGTCACCATGTTGGACTTATTTAGCAATCATTGGTTCCCCATCTGGAACGAGTAGACGTTTATTTGGTCATGTCTCCCCATGAGTATTGTCACACAATTATTGGGGTTACTAACAGGAGTATGGCTGAGGGGTTACTTATAGGAGCAGAAATGACTCAAAGGCAGCTGCATCACCAAAGCCCCCTCCAGCATGGTGACAGCTCACAAAGCTGGAAAGCCGGAGCACACTGCAGTCTGCAGGCATGCCAGCCAGGTGCTTCCGTTGTTCTGAATGTCTGTCAGCTCAATGGTCTCTGCCTTTGGGACTTCTGCGGGTGTGAGCATATTCTAGGCAGCTCAACTTGCTGAGATGTCACTAAATATTCCTTACTGCTTATAAATGTCTGGGAAGGGCAAGGTCTAGTGAACCTAGTCAGTGTCTGAGACTTCGTGAAGCTTTGGAGTTGTTCACTTCCTGAATTTTATTGAGTTCCCAGTATCATGTAATGTTTTGTCTCCCCTTAGAAGACCCGCCATCTAAGAGGTTCCAAGCAGGATGGGAAGTCTATCTTGGAAGACTTTGCTAAACAACTTGCTTATAATGCTGCCCCTTATTGGGGGATTTTAGGTAGGGGCTCTACCACAGAGCCCGGCCATAACTCTTCATTGGTGGATTCTAGGCAGAGGCTCTACCACTAACCCATACCCCAGCCCCTCCCTGGGGGTTCTAGGCAGGGGCTCTACCACTGAGTCACACCCCAGTCCATCACTGGGGGATTCTAGGCAGGGGCTCTACCACCTAGGCATGCTCAATTCTCTCACTGGGGTTAGAGTGCAAGGTCAGTTCTGTGATGACTCTTCTGGACACTCATGGGGACAGAGAGGTTTAATTTCTTACAGTAGCTGTCCACTGTTGGTGCACAGAATCTCAGCAGCCCTTATCACTGAATGACAGCACTCTAACAACCCTTTTGCAGATGGCAGATTTGAAATGTAGAAGGTTAATGAACGTAGCTATGGTTACTTCATGAGCACACACGTTAGCACCACACACCTTTGAAAGAATGACTTATAGTTATTAGCGAGTGTGTAATGACAGAAGATCATGTCAGAGGACAGCCTGTGGGAGCTGGTTCTCTCCTTCCATGTGGGTCCTGAGGATTAATCTCAGGTCATCAGGCTTGGCAGCAAGCACCCTTTCTGCTGAACCATCACAGCCCAGCACCAACCTCTGAACACAGGAAATTTGTCCTTGATGCTGCTTGCTTGAAGCCAAAACCCTTTTTGGCCACGTTTCCCAGGATGGGAGTGAACATCAGGGGGATGCCCGGTATGAAGTAAGAACACTTGGGAAGGCTGTCCCTGCCTGTAGCCTAGGGTGGGACATCCTGGGGGTAGCTGGAATGTGACTTGATTTGCAGCCTGTGTGTGCCTGCCTCTGGAGGCAAGGGGCACCTGGATCTCACCTGGCCAAGCTTGTATTTTCCCTCTGTCATGGCGTCTATCATCCTGTCCTGTCTTCTCAGGTCTGCACCATTTCCTAGAAAAAAGGAGGGGAAAATGGCCCAATTGCAGGTGAGTTGATTTTCAACTGTGCTGTTCATGCTCTGTCTTAGAGTTTCTGTTGCTCTGAGAGGTAACATGACCCCTGCTTTTATAAAGAAAAACATTCAATTTGTGATGGCTTACAGTTCAGATGTTAGTCCATTATTATTATGGTGGTAGCATCCAGGCAGCTGTGTTTCTCCAGGAGGAGATGAGAGTTCTACATCTTGATCCACAGGTAACAGGAGACTGTGTGCCATACTGGCCTTAACTTGAGACCTCCGAACTTGCCTCCACAGTGATACACTTCCTCCAACGCCTTGTTCAACAGGGCCACACCCCTAATAATTCTACTCCCTATAGGCCAAGCATTCAAACACACAAGTCTATGAACAGGGTATAAGAATAGAAATTTAAAAATTAGTCACATCATTATTTTGCTTACAATGTCCCCATGGCCATTTAAAGCCACATCCCTGGCTCCGTTTGCTGTGCTGTAGCGTGGAACTGGCATGTTTTCCACTAGCAGTGGTGTGCGTTCTAACTCTTGAGTGGATTGCATTGAGTTGTTCTCCACCCAAACTCGAAAATCCCTGAGGCTCCCACAGTTTGATGTCTCTTTGTCCTTTTCCCTGTGGAGAGCCTTGGCTCACAAGACTGCTCTGAGGCTGGCCATGTGGTCCAGGGAGCAACACACACCTGGCATTGTTCAAATGTCGACGTCCTGTAACCCACCCACCTCGGGTAGCTGTCCGCCAAGGTCAGAAATTTAGTTCTTAAGAAGCCCAACGCCATGAGTCTGTCCCTGGTACCACACAGTGATGAAATGAACATGAGCCGTGGTCTGAGAGACCTGTCCCTCCGAGCCTTCTAGAGACTCAAAGCTGTGGTTCTGTATGTACATATATACATGCACACATATGCACGTGCACATAGCATACACATCAGTGCATCTGTATACTTTATCCCGTAGGTGACAGCTGAGAAACCTTATTGTCTTTTTCATTTGTTTTTTAAATTTAAATTTAAGATTTATATATTGTTATTTTGCATGAGTGACTTGCCTGCATGTACACCTGTACAGCATGTCTATCCCAAAGGAAGTGAAAGAGGGCGTCAGATCCCGTAGAATTGGAGTTACAGATGGTTGTGAGCTGCCACGTGGGTGCTGGAAACCAAGCCTCTGTCTGTCCCCTGCAAGAGCAACCAGTGCTCTTAACCACAGCACCTCTAGGCTCTTCTATCAGGGTCTCTGATACTCTGGGGCGTGGGGACGGATGGCGAGATTTCACCATTTATGTATTGAATATATTGAACGTGAAAGTCCTCAGCAGTGCAGGGCGTGGTCACTGTCCATCCATCGTCTCATTCACAGTCCTGAAGGACCGAGTGAGCTGGGGTTCCTTCATGCTGTTCCATGAGGATGGGGGAGCCATGTTCATTCAGGATGTTGTGTGTGCTGGGGCCTTTGTCTTCTAGGTCAAGAGAGTCAGCCTTGTTTAGTGTAAAGTCAGAGTACAGTGCAGAGCAGGACAGAGGAGGCCAGGGCAGAGGAGGGCAGGGCAGAGCTCTCCATCTGTAGCCAAGGGCAAGCTGCTCAGAAAGTCCTGTGGAGCAGGTACAGGCTTGAACAGGTCTGCAGTATAAACATCTAAGAATTCTCTGTAGAAAGCCAGATAACAAAGCAATAACACAAAATGTTTGCAATGTAAAAGGAAGTGAGAACAATCGTCTGCACGGTGACATTCTAGAAGAGGAAATAGTGAGAGTGAGCGAGGGACAGTGAGATGGCTCAGTGGTAAGGGAGCTTGCTGCGAAGGCTGATGACTGAGTTAGATCTGTGGGAACCACAAATTAGGAAAGAACTGACTCCTCAAAGTTTTTATCTGACCTCCACACATACACCATGGCTTGCATGAGCTCCATGACACACACACACACAGACACACACCATACCACACCACACAGATAAATTAAAAATAACATTTAGAAAAATATTTATTATGTGACAAAAGAATAATTTTTACTAAATTGACTTAATTAGTGAACTTCAAGTCAGTATATACTGTTTTATGAAGCAATGTGGAAGGGGCTGGGGAGATGGCTCAGCAGATATGAACACTTGCCACACAATCGCGAGGACCTGAGTTCAATCCTTGGAATCTGTGTAAAACACCAGATTTGGTGGTGCCCAACTATAATCCCGCTATGGAGGACACGGGAGAACCAGCTGGAGGCTAGCAGCCTTGCTAGCCCGGAATACACAGTACTGCAGAAACAGCAAGAGAGATGGCCCTGCTCTGTGTTTCTGCAAGGTTGAAGGACCGGGCCAACTCCTGAAAGATCTCCAGATACATGCTGTGCCACATGCACAGGTGTGGGCAAAATGCACATGCATTCTCACAGACTGCACATTTGTGCATGCACATGAGCTTGTATCCAAATATGTATACAAGCATACGCAAATATAAGGATTTCTTTGCAGCCCTCATGGCGGGTGGGCTCAGCAGATGGAAGGCAGGCAGAGACAGGTACTTCCAGCTAAGAGACTCTGAGTCCCACAAGGTCCTCCCTCCACATCTCAGCCTCACGTCTTCTGCAGTTATAACCTGCAAGTTTTGCTGTCCCAGGAGATGGTGACGTTCAGGGATGTGGCTGTGGTCTTCAGCGAGGAGGAGCTGGGGCTGCTGGACGCTGCCCAGAGGAAGCTGTACCGTGATGTGATGCTGGAGACCTTCAGGATGCTGCTCTCAGTGGGTGAGGATTGGGTCTGGGTTTCCCAAATGAGCGACTGGGACCAGCTGCTGGGAGCCTGGGAACTGCTGGAGTTGTTTTCTGGGCTTGGTTGTCTAACTGGAAGCACAGGTTTCTCATGGCTCCGTCCATCTGTCCTTTGAGCTGTGTATGGGAGTCCTGCTTGGTTTTATTAACGACACAAGCTAGAGTCGTCTGGGAAGAGGAGCCTCACTTGAGAAAATGCTTCTGCCAGGTTGGCTTGTGGCCAAGTCTGTGTGGGATTTTTTTTGATTGATTATTGCTAAGGTTGTGGCCCAGCTCACTGTTAGTGGTGATTGCTCTGCCAAGTGCCTCTGAGCTTTGTAAGGAGCAAGCCAGTAAGTAGCACCCTCCATGGCCTCTGCTCCAGCTCCTGTCTCCAGCCCCTTCCATGAGTCCGGCCTTGCACCATGAAGAGCTTCAAGCTATAAGACGAAATAAAACCTTTCTCCCCCAGTGCCTTTTGTCATAGTGTGTACAAGGAGTAGAGTAGGACAGTGGGGACAGAGGGCCCTTTGCATTGGTTTCCATAAAACCATTTACAATGTGCTTCTAGCTACTTTTGTTTTATAGGCTGTGTGGTAGTTCCTATTTATTAGTCCATTTTACTGGGAGGTATGTTTAAAATATATTTTTAGTGTGTGTGCGAGCGTGCACACTCACCACGCGCGCACGCACACTCATCATGTTGACAACAGGTGCCTACAGAGGCCAGAGAGGGCTTCAAATTCCTACTACTGGAGTTAAGAGGTGGTTGTAAGCTACTGTAGGTGCTGGGAACCAATCTTTGGCTCTCTGGAAGTAGTAGCAAGTGCTTTTAACCTCTGAGCCCTCTTTCCAGCTTGAGAGTTCTTTTCGTCCCTTCCTCCCTCCCTCCATTTCTCCCTTTCTTTGGTTTTTATTTCTTTGACTCAGTGTCTCATATAACCCAGGCCAGACTCTTCTCAAACTTACTATATAGCTAAGGGTGGCCTTGAAACTGCTCTACCTGTCTCTACTTCCTACTCTTTTTATCTACTATTTGCAAAAGACATCATCAAACTTTTGGTTTTTTTTCTTTTTTTCCTTTTCTTTCCTTTTTTTCCCTCCACTAGCACACCAGCCTTTCACACTAGGCCTGGTAGCCCAGCTGGAGAATGAAGAGGAGCTCTGCATGGTGGAGGCCCAAGGAGGTGAGATCTCTGGTGCGGAAGATGCTGCTGGGCCAGTGGGCGGGAGTGCTTTCTCTGACATGGGCAGGGCATAGCATTTCTCTCCTTAACTCTCCACCAGTTCCCACTTCACAAATAGTATAATGACTTTTAAAGTGCTTAGAGCAGGGCCGCTGAGAAGGCTCCTTGAGTAAGGGTGCTAGCCCCAAGCAGAGTTCCTTCCCTAGAACCTGTTTGCCTGTGTGTTGTCAGGGGGAGTAAACTGACTCCCTCAGGTTGTTCTTTGACCTCCACAGTCATACCATTGGTGGAGCAAACACATATACACACATACAGAAAGAGAGGCTACACTCACTTATACTCATATTCATGCCTATAAAGAGAAAACCATTTATCCACATTGGGAATATCCGCTTTTCTTTTTTCTACTGGATTACCTAACATCCCATGATGAAGCACAGTGTTGTGCTTATAGTTCACTAGAACTTTTGAATGCGACCACATTTGATACCCAGATTTTGTTAGGAAAACCCAGAACTTTTTGTTGTTTTTGTTTTTTTGTTTTTTTTTTTGGATTGTTTTATTTTATTTTATTATTTTATTTCATGTTTTTTATTTATTTATTTGGAGACAGGGTTTTTCTCTATGTAGCTCTGGGTGTCCTGGAACTCACTCTGTAAAGCAGGCTCGCCTTGAAGTCACAGAAATCTGCCTACCTCTGCCACCCTAGTGCTGGGATTAAAGGTTGCTCCACTACTGCCCTGCAGAAAACCCAGATCTTAGGCACCCAGGGAGTCCTGGGTTTGTGTCTCCTGTGTGTGTCAGGTGTTTTATCAGTCTCCACAGAACCAGTGTGGCCTGTCTGTCTCCTGATATGAACCATGTGTTACACACCAGCGTCTCTCAGTAAGGTGCTCACTTGTGTGTTTGTCTGGATTCTCATCCTTATAGGAAGCCAGGGTGGACGTGCTGTGGAGAATGATGAAGACATGGAGTTAAGCTCCCTTTGTCCCAGAGAGCTCTCCTCCTGTCAGACCTGGCCACAGGGTGCAGGCTTGTTACCCAGGGATCAGGATCCCATGAAAAGATGTCTAAAGAACAACACTGAGTCTCAGAACCAAGGAGATTCTTCCTTTCTGGTGTGCGCAGGGAGGCTGGTTCAGATTTCTGAGGATGGGAACTACGTGTTGCCTCCTGTAGATGATGACTCTGCCTCTCTGAGAAGTCAAGAGTTTCCTTCACTGAGAGCCCAGCAGTCTTGGCAGGTATCACATCTCAGTGGGTCATGTATTCGCCAATGGAAAGGTCAGCAAATGCCTAGGAATGTTTCTAGTCAGAGTTTATATCTTCAAGCTACTCAGGAAATCCACTCTGAAGAGAAACTATATCCATGTGTGGAGTGTAGAAAAGATTTTACACATTGCTCAAATTTTAACACTGAGCACAAAGTTCACATGGAAGAGACTGTCTATAACTCTGAGTGTGGTGATCACTTCAGTCTGCCCCCACATTTCCAGGACTTTTCAGCAGTGTACCCCAGGGAAAACCCACATAAATATGCATGCAGTACAAGTTTCGATCAAAAATTGTGTATTCCAAGCCATCAACAACTTGACGTCATTGAGAAGCCTACTCATAAAGAGAGTGAAAATGGGTCTAACTGGAGTTCCAGCCCCCAAGATCAGCAGAAACCTAAGCCACACAAATGCAACACCTGTGGGAAAGGCTTCAGTGACAAATGGGTTCTTACCATTCACCAGAGAGTCCACACAGGAGAGAAACCATATCAATGTAAGGAGTGTGGGAAGTGCTTCAGCCAGAGTGCCTACCTACACTCCCACCGGAGAGTTCACACTGGAGAGAAACCATACAAGTGTGAGGTGTGTGGCAAGGCCTTCAGTCGGAGTTTCTACCTGCAAGGCCACGAGAGAAGTCACACTGGGGAGAAACCATACAAGTGTGAGGAGTGTGGGAAGAGCTTCAGTCGAAATTCCTACCTGCAAGACCACCAGAAAGTTCACACTGGGGAGAAACCATACAAGTGTGAGCAGTGTGGGAAGGGCTTCAGTCGGAGTTCCAACCTTCAAGGTCACCGGAGAGTTCATACAGGAGAGAAACCATACAACTGTGAGGAGTGTGGGAAGGGCTTCAGATGGAACTGTAATCTTCAAATTCATCAGCGGGTTCACACAGGAGAAAAACCCTATAAATGTGGGATATGTGGCAAAGGCTTCAGATGGAACTGTAATCTTCAAATTCATGAGCGGGTTCACACAGGAGAAAAACCCTATAAGTGTGAAAAATGTGGCAAAGGCTTTAGTATCGCCTCCAGTCTCCTGGTCCATGAGAGAGTCCACATGGGAGAGAAGCCTTACCAGTGTCTCGAGTGTGGGAAGGCCTACAATAGGTATTCCAATCTCCAGATACATCACAGAATCCATACTGGGGAGAAGCCATTTAAATGTGAGGTGTGTGGGAAAGGTTTCACCCAGAAGTCAAATCTTCAATCTCATCAGCTTGTCCATACGGGAAGGAAACCCTACAAGTGTGACACATGTGGTAAGGGATTCAGCAGGAATTCAGGTCTTCTGATGCACCAAAAAGTCCATAGCAATGATAGTTTCTATAGGAGGGAAGAGTATAGGAATGGTTCCCATCCTTCTGAGAACCTAGGCAGAGACGAAGGCCTGTCAAATAATGTTCTGTTTTAATGAAAAGTAGTGTTTGTACCTAACATGAATGCCAGTGGTTGCTGGGAAACAACACAGAATAGAGATTCATCAAGTGTTTGCCAACATCTCAATAAGCTCTTGTAGAGGATCAAAGAACTTCCTCCGAATGTAAGCAGGAAATAGCAAAAGTTTGATTATATGTAGAAGTTTCATTTCTCACAGCCAATTGGTCCCTAATATCTGGACCTAGAAGCTGCTTCCCAAATTACCATGCAGAGGCTTAATATTACTTAAAAATACTCGACTAATAGCTCAGGCTTATTATTAACTATCTCTTCCAGTTTAAGTTAACTGATATTCCTTAATTATGCATTGGCATGTGGTGGTCCCTGTTCTCAATAGGGCATACCCATCTTGCTTTCTCTTGGGTTTGACCTGAGTCTCCTGAACCTCCTATTCCTTTTCATCTCTTATCATTCTTAGTTTGGTTGTCCCACCTATACTTTCTGCCTGGTTACTGCCCAGTCAGCCTTTTATTAAACCAATTTGTGTAACAAATCTTTACAGTGTGCAAGTTAATATTCCACAACATTTGTCCCTTTTGTCCAATTAAAAAGTAAGTTTTGATGATACAAAATTGACTTTATTCTGTTACGAGAAGTAATCAGAAATAGAAATCACCCATCTAAATAACACATATTAGGTTCCATATGAGTCTGCCAGGCCCTCTAGTACAAGATAGTGATGAAATTGATTTACTTGGTTGAATGTGCTAGAACCCTCAGAGTTTCATAAAAACAACAACAACAAAAAAGCTTGTCAATAGCAAGAGTTTGAAAAAAGATTTTTCTATCACTTGGCAACAATACAAGGAAAGTATAAGGCAATACACTACTTGTTCTTTATACAGCCAAAATCCAGTACCTGTAGGAAGTAATCCAAAGAGTACTCAATGAAATGAACTTTGGCTGCTGGATATGTTTCATTTTTCAGAATTTGGAAAGTTAAAATGTGTCCACCATATCATAGGTACATATTCAGGATTTCAGTGGGCCACTGCTTTGAGTTCTGAAAAGGATGATTCTATAGTCACAGATTTGCTAGAAGTTATGGCCCTTATGTTTTTGTACTCTGGATGTACCTAACGAATTATGGTCCTTTAACCACTTTGACATTTTCTGCCTGTCACATTTAAAATTTTTTCTATAGTGAACCATGTTTTCTATTGTGAAACATGACCATGCCTACGCACGACCTTTGGAGTCTCTAAAAGGAAGATGGGGCCCCAAAACAATTCCACCTGGATTGTGGTGTTGCCGCCAAACTGACAGATACCATCCAAAGATTGAATTTGGATTACAAATGGCTCAGGACAGTTTCAACATGGCTAGCTGAGATAACCCAGCCTCACAGACTACCCTAGCTAGGACTTGAGATAAGCCCTACATGTTTCCATTATGCAGAGACTGAACCACAAATGATTCAGCTACCTCTTCCAGGATTGGTAATTATTTTGATGTTTTTTTCAGGGCCCCCTAAAGATGCCAGACAGCAGGAAGTAATTTTAAGAACATGAAACCCACATTCCCAAGTAGTAGGAAGATGGTTTTTGGTCACTGGGCAATGGATATTTGTAATTGTTTAAGGGATATGCTTACACGTGGTAAAATGGTCAGGAAAAAAACTGAACAAAGGAGGTTAGATTCAGGGTTTTCTAAAAAGAAAAAGGGAGGATATAGAAATATGAGGATAAAGGGTACATTATTGAATCAACTCTGAAAAAAGGTGATATAGCTGTAATAGGATAATAGAGAATTTAATCTACTTTTAAACCAAAAAAACTACTAGTCATAAGTTTTTTACATTTTATTATATTTTTGTATATTGATAGCAAATTTGAGGTTATTTTTGTTAGAACATGCTATTCATACATATCACTCTGGTTTAAGATATTGTACCTATACTGTTCATTTAACAATGCAATACAAAATTCTAGTCTTTTAAAGTTATTACATACTATGATAATAAAGTAATGCAGGTAAATGGTCACCTATTCCAATGGAACTTGTATTTATCTTAGGTTTTCAAGATCAACCAATTATATTTTAGATAGGTGATCTTCAAACACTTCAGAGATCTGCAGAATATGGTATTTATGATGTTTTAATAACATTGCCTGGCAGCACCAATGTCAGAAAAGATGAGCATTGAGGTTATTCCATATGGAGTTTACTTTCTTTGTGGTGAAAGTTAGCCACTGGTGGAGAAACTGCCCTTGTGTCAACTGCTGACAGTTATGTCCAAATTGGACAGGCAGGACACAGAAGAAAGCAGCTGTTCAACTTTGCGAAGACAGAGTAGTACAGCCCTTCAGAATTATCCTGCTCCACAGAAAAGTATGTCAGATATGCTAGGCTTATAGGCCGAAGATAAATGCTGCAATATTATAGAGGAACCTTGTGTGACTGTCCAGGCAGACTGCTGTTTCTGTCATTTTTCACAGGTTTTAGAAGTTGCTTGCTTGCACTTCCTGTTTACTCAGGTAATATTTCCTTTGAGGGTCTCTGATGGAGTTGAAGACTAGAAACTCACAAAGGAATGTAAGATGTATAAAGTTTAGAGATATAAGAAGATAGCTTTGGGTAGGTAATACAAATTAGGATGAAAGGTGAATTAGTTACAACCCTTTGGACTCACCAAGATTGGATTAATAAATAATGGAGTATTTCCTCTCAATTTGTCAAATGCAAATGGACTGTACATTGTAAATGTACTTCTTGATGCTCTATATTGTGTATAGTTGTTGGCCTTATTATATATAGCTCTTTATGTTAATTTTAACCTTTGCTTTTTATTTAGACAAAAGGGGAAATGTTTGATATTTTGTGTTCTGACAAATAAATCTTGCCTGGAAATTAGAGGGTGGAGCTAGCCACTAGTTAACAAATAACCATAGAGGTCTGTACAGATAGGAGACAGGAGTGATAAGGCAGAGTGGGGAGAACGGAGGTGATTAGGGGTTGGAGACAGGATCTCAGTTTAGAGAGGCAAGAAGTCTCTGTTGGCTGCTGCTCTGCTTCTCTGATTTTTCAGTTTTTACCCCAGTATCTGATTCTGGGCTTTTATTGAGAAGAGTAATTAGGATCACACTTCACAGTGCTGGCAGGCAGAGAGAATAAATAGGAGAACCTTGGGAAGAGGAGGGAGCAAGAAAAAGGGCTACCCACCCACTTATACAGCTAGACTTAAATTCAGAAGAAAAGAAAAGATGTAGAAAAATATAGAAAGGTAAGGCAAAAAGTAGACAGATAATTTAAAAGCTGACAAGAAACAAGCTAAGGCTGGGCATTTATAAGTAATGATAAGTATCCCTGTGTGTTTATTTGGGACCCCGGTGGTGGGCCCCAAAAGGAGCCCAAAGAGTATAACAACTAACTACAAGCACCCATGTTAGATGGATCACAATGTTTTTGTAAGTTGTTTCAGGGGACCTGACACCTTTGTTGCTGTGTGGGTGTTGGGTTCACACAATTCTGTGGCAAGAAGACTCAGACAAGAATGAATTTAGCCTTTCACAGCTGCAGGGTAATACCTCTAAGGACTGAAGCACTTTTCCTTTTCTCAGGACATTTTTATTTTTCTCTATATTTATGCTTTATCCAGTTGATTTCCATAAGCTCAAAACAACCTGAATGAAGTTTTCAAAAATAGAATGCCACGTGCAAATTCTCAATTCATAAAGTACCAGTTTTCCAGGTTTCTCAAACCAAGTTTTGCATAGGCTCGGTATTGGGAAACTCCCAGACAAGATTCAAATAGAGTAAGAAGAGAAACAGCTGGTGTCTGCCAAACAAAGATTTATTAGCGCTAAGTGCTAAACTAACATTCTGGAGCCCAGCCAGAATGCTGTCACATGGCTTCCTCGGAACTATCCTCACATGGTGAAGATACATACAATCAACAATGTGCATACACACTATTTAAAAATGAATAGTTTCTTTTGTATAACTTGGTTTTCTTCTTTCTGTATTCCAAGTTTCTCTATAACTTCTTAGACTGTGTGGTAGCTTTGTTGAGTTTATTTGCGTTTACTTGAGTGTCACGTTTGAAAAGTTTTCCTTTTCTAAGATTACAAAGGAGGTGAAGGTTGGAGAGCTGAAGGTGAATAGCAATTAGTAGAACTGATTCGGACTAACAATTCCCAAATTTAGGTGACTATGCAGATATTCTTGAAGGCGAGAAAGAACTTCCCTGCAGAGGTTGGGCGCTATAGTCCAGAAGGTCCATGCGGTCCCTGACAAGCTCTAGAAAGGCGTCGATTAACACACAGTCTTCCACAGAAAGATGGGAAGGCTTCGTGGTTAGACGATTTTGGTCTATAGGAACGCTAAGAACGCTGTTCCGGACCTAGAACTTGCGGAGATTTAATCCAGTTTCCTTATGGCTTTACTTCCGCCCTGGAAAGGCAAGGCAGGAGAAACACTGAGAATTGTGGGAAATGTAGTGCACGACCGTCGAGTCTCCAGATTACTAGAATAACATCCGCCTCAGGAGGTTTAGAGAGCTGCCCTTACTCTGTCGGGAATTTTGGGAAATGTAGTTCGAAATACCAGGTTTAAGGCTAATTTTTTTTCATGTGTCTGTGTGTCGTCCTGGTCCCCTCGGGAACTGGAAAGTGTGCTCCCGGTGGCCTGTGCGGGAAGAGTCACTTCCGGCCCAGGTGTGCGAGGCCGTGGCCCGCGTTCCTCTTAGAAAGGTGAGCCCCCCCTCTGCTGTCCTCTCCCGCGTCTTCCCGATAGTTTTCAGGCTGACCCGCGCGATAGGCAGCAGGCGTGGATGCTGGGAAGGAAATCCGCCTCAGTAGGGCAGGAGGCGAGTTTGCTGTGAATGAGCCTGCAGGAGCGTGCCGCGCTTGCGCACATCGATTCAGGCCTGTCTGGGGCTGTCAGTCACCAGGATGGAGGGTGTCATGGGCGCCGGGAGCGGGAGCCCCCAGCCGTCTCTCTAGCCACTGACGGAAATGCACAGTCGTCTCCGTCTGTGTCCCCGTTTCTCCCTCAACATTTTGGTACCTATCGAAGAGTGAGTTTGTGTTTGCTGCAAGGCTCAAGACAGCGGGCGCGCGGCACCAGCTCTTAGCTGTTATTTTGCTCTTAGTGCTTTCCAGATTTCGAGGAAGCGCCCCAGTCTCTGGAAGCCCCAGTGACCCACAGATGGTCTCAGAGCTCCTGCTGTAGGGTCCTTGGCCCCAGCCTGACCACATCTGACCACTCCAACAAAATCTTCAGTGACTCTTTTTTTGTTGTTGTTCTTTTTTTTTCTTTGTTTTTGTTTTGTTATTGAGACAGTGGTTCCCAGCTGTTGCTTGAAGTGTCCACTATGACTGGGAGGGGGCCGGGGGCTGATGAAGTCCGTTTTCACCTTGTATCTTGCCTTCCTGTATTTGAAAAAGAGCGTATGAGGAAGGAGGCATCAGAGAACGGGGTACAGTAGTCTGAATAAGAAATGAACCCATAGTCTCTGGACTTTGAATATTTGGTCCAAGTTAGGGGGACAGTGATGTTTGCTGAGGTGTAGGTGGCATGGCTCTGCTAGAGGAAATACGTCATTGGAGGGGGGTCTGAGGAGGTAGGGTTTTATGTTATTGCAATTTGCTCTCTCTACTTTGTGCTTTGGGTTCAAGATAGGAGCACTCAGCTTCCTCCTCCTCTTGCTACACCTGCCTCCCTTTGGAACCAAAAGCCAAAATAAACGCTTTCTTCTACAAGTTGGTCATGGTGTTTTATCGCAGAAGCAGAAATGTAACTAATACATATGGTTAGAATTGAGCATCCTTCCTTCTCAGTACCCTCTCTTCTCATGGTCGATGGTGTGGTTTTTACTCATCGACAGATCTAGCTGTGAAGCGGCCCTAGTATTTTTTTCAGTAAATTCTAGAAGTGGTGATGAATTACTTGGGCACATCCAATAAGGATGCTACATTATTATTTAATATTAAATACTTATAGAACTTTTATACCAATTAACAAGTCCAACTCTCACAAGAGCTTTATTCTGTGTGGAACCATCATTCTCATTTAATTCACTTATTTTTATTACATCTATTTAAGGGAAAAATAAAATCTGTTTTTAAAATGAAGATACAAGTTCACTTAATCTACCAAAAAGAAAAATATAGTTGGATGATGGTGGCGCATGCCTTTAACCCCAATAGTCAGGGGGCAGACAGATCCCTGTGAAGCTAGGCCAGCCTACTTCACAGAGCAAGTTCTAGGACAGGTGTTACACAGAAAACAAAACAAAACAAAACAAAAAAAGAATATTATTTGCATTACATCCCGTGTTCATAGATAATTGTATTTCTTTATAATTTATATATTTTCTTAATCTGATACAATATACAATCATTTCTATGGTTATATGAACTAGGCATGGTGAGATGGCTCAGTAGGTAAAATCACTTGCCACCAAGCCTGATGTCTAAGTTTGATCCCCAGGACTCTCATGATGGAAGAAGAGAATTGCTATGGAATGTTTATATCCACCCATCCATCATCATCATCATCATCATCATCATCATCATCATCATCATCATCATCATTTATGCCTGGCAACGCTAAGCATACATGGGCAGCCCATTTATGGCAGTTCTCTAGTTGTTCCTATCCTGGGCAGTCCTAGAAGCTTGTGTTATTGTCATGCCCACGGTTCCACAGTCTTCCTTTATGCTGTCTGTCCATTTTTTTGGGTCTTCCTCTTCGCCTTATCCCATGCACTCCTCCAAACAGTGCTATCTTTGGGGTTCTGTCATCATTCATCCTCATAACATGGTCCATGTATCCCAAGCGTCGATGCCATATCCTGTAGTTTACTTTCTTCTGTAGGTGGAGATGTTTCTTAATGTCATCATCCTGTAGCCTAACTCTTCGTGTGACACCTAGAATCCTCCTGAGACATGTCATCTCAAACACATTCAGCTGCTGTTCTAAGAAGTGTTTCATCGTTCAGGTTTTAGAGTTGTAAAGAAGTCAGCTGAAGACAAGCGTCTCATGTATTTGTAATTTTGTTGTCATTATGTGTCTTGCTGACCAAACCTTTTCTAGTGCCTGGAATGCAACCCTCACTATCCTTATCCTTGATGCCTGAAATCGTTCCCTCCTTTGAACTGAGTCCCCTCCCAGATAGACAAAGCTGACGGTTTGCTTGAGGTTCTGATTCTTTATTACAATGTTTAAATCCTGTGCACCCTTCCCATATGTTGTAGCTCAGTCTTCTCCATGTTTACTTTCATACCAAGGTTTTCTCTGACTTCCACCACTCTATTTACCATGGCCTGCAGCTCATTTGAACTTGCAGCAAGTAGTGTTGTATCATTGGTGAAACACAAGTTATTGAGCTGTATATACCCACCCACCTACAAATAAACAAATGTTAAGAAAAAAAATGGATTTGGGGATGGAGAGATGGCTCAATGATTAACCAGGTTTAGATGGCTCATAACAAAGTGTACCTTTTGAGCCCAGGGATCCACTGACCTCTGACAACACTGCGTGCCGTGGGGCAAATAGATGAGCAGGCATATGCATAATAATACAGAAAAATTAAACTATAAAGTGCAACATTGAAGTCCTCAACCTTTATACTAAAAATAATGATTCAAATATTGCATGTGCAAGGCCCTGCGTTCAAGCCCAGCCCTGTGAGAGGGAATAGGCATAAAACATGCATCTTACCTAGCTAGAGAGTTTGTTGCCTGTAGCAGAGCACATGCAACCCAAGAAAGAGTTTCTGCGTTTCATTGTAGTTTTAAAATGCTAATATTAAATACACCCTGGGGACATCGGATGGCTTGGCAGGCAAAGGCACCTTCTGACCTGAGTTCGATTCCCAGGGCTTACATGTTGGAAGGAGAGAACCAACGCCAACAAGTTATCCGCTGACATCCATACACTTGCTATAGTATGTACATGGTCACATAATAAGCAAATAAAATTTAATTTTAAAAACAAACAAAAATGCAGAAGGTGAACAAGTAGATGTGTTTGTTGCAATTCAAGATCAACCACTAAAAGCAAACAAATTTTGAAGTTAGAGCCAGAAGCTAAGAGATAAACTGAATGAAATGGTAAAAATAAATAATAAACAGCCAAAATGAAAACGGATGGGAATAAGAGAAATAAAATCAGGGAGAACAAGTCACAAGAATACAATGATGGGCTAAAATCTAGCCACCTCAGAATTTCTTTTCTGAGTCTCGTAAACAAGGGAGATTATAACTATAACTATGTAGCCTTCATCTACCTCAGAGACCCAAGGAAGAAATAATATTTCATAAGTGAATAGGAAGTGCATGGAAGTGAAAATGTGAGTGATGACAGAAAGAGCAGGTTTCAGACAGTCACCCAAAGTTCCTCTGCAATGCTGAGGCATTCATCTTCGGCCTACAGACCAAGGCCTAGCATATCTGACAGACTTTCTGGGAAGCAGGATATTTTGTGTCCTGGTTGTCTAATTAGGACAGCATACTGTCAACAGTTGAGGCAGGGCATTTTCTTGCCCAGCGGCTTGCTTTTGCCACAAAGAAAGTAAACTCCATGTGTAGTTTCTTTGATGCCCATGATCATCTCTGAAGTAGTTTGATGCTGCCAGGAGCAGACATGTCTCACTGTCACAAAAGAAGAAGAACTTATGTTATTAAAACATCTTAATTGCCATATTCTATAGATCTCTGAAGTATCTGAAGATGACCTGTCTCTCTAAATTTTATCTTTGTTTTACCTTAAAAACTTATTTAATGTCACTACAAGTTTGATTATACTGGGTAATTAACTACTAACCTATATTTCCTTATTGTCCTAAACAGTTGGTAATAATAATTTTCAAGGACTATAAATTTGCATTACATTGTTAAATGAGCTGTATAGGTACAATACCTTGAACAAGATTAAAAATGTATGTACAATATGTTTTAACAAAATCTCAAATCTGTATCAGCATACAAAATTTGTATACAGTATACAAGAGCTCAGTCCAATGTAAAACACTTAAATTTAGTAGTTGCATTTTAAAAGTAGATTAAATAATCTACCTTTTAATCTTATCATATCTATATCCTCTTTTTCTTTTCAGAGTAGATTGAATAATCTACCCTTTTATCATATCTATATCCCTATTTTTTTCTTTTTAAAACCATAGCCTTGAATCTAATTTCCTTTGCTTAGCATTTTTTCCCTGATCATTATCTGTAGCAACTTGTAACCAACACACTAAATGAAGATAAATATAATCAATTTTTTTGGGGAATGTGGGCGTAGTTTTCTAGGCTACTTCCTGCTGACTGGGGGCACTGGTAATCTTATGGGAACCCTCATTGGAATCTTATGGGATCATCTTAGCCAACAGTCTTGAAGCTACTCTGGATGTAGAACTCAGAGGAAACTTCAACAGAGGTGCTCTAAAATGTTGGATCATCTGGGCCATCTTCTATCAGAGATATTTCAAGGGGTCTTCCATGATCAAACCCTATTTTTCTTAACCCAGAGTGAATCCATAGCCTCTCACTTCCTGTGGGAAAAAAAACAAAACCTCTTCACCAAAGTAACATATCTTTTGACTTAAATTTTGAAGTCAAGGCATTTTCAAAATATATATGTTGGATTAATCCAGCAGCATTTATAATCAAATGTCTTTTAGCAGCTGTTGTTCCTTCCTTAGCCATCAAACAATTAAAAGACAACACAATAACATACAGTATTC